CACACACACACACACGCGCACGCGCGCGCGCACTTCTATGCTGTTTGAAAAAAATGAAAGTGAAAAAAGAAACTATAATATTCAAAAACTGCGTGGAAACAATAAGAACCGATAAAGAGGATGACATAAAACTCTTAAAAACTGAAAAATAGGATCATAAAATTCCACAAATGATTATTTGCATTATTGTTGTCGTTATTTCGCGTAGTTATCTTTGCACAATCAAGACGGCTGCGCCCCGGAGCCCCCCCTGGCGGCGCCCAGGGGTAACAGCCCCCAGGGGTGAGGGAGGGGAGGGGAGGGGTGGGGAGACTTGCGTGAGGGAGGGGAAAAAAAATGGGTGGACGGAAAGTCCCTGCGTGGAAATCCCCTTGACTTGGGCTTTTTCTCCCCCCAGCTCTCGTTCTTTTTTTTCCCACATGGTTTTAAACGCTCTCGTCGGCGTCCACGCGTGCACTCGTTGTGAACGAGAAGGGGGAGGGGAGGGGAGGGGTGGGGAGACTTGCGTGAGGGAGGGGAAAAAAAATGGGTGGACGGAAAGTCCCTGCGTGGAAATCCCCTTGACTTGGGCTTTTTCTCCCCCCAGCTCTCGTTCTTTTTTTTCCCACATGGTTTTAAACGCTCTCGTCGGCGTCCACGCGTGCACTCGTTGTGAACGAGAAGGCTCGTCAAAGTGCGAGCGGTACCCTCCGCCTTCCCCGCCCCCCCAAAAAGATTACCGCGCCGAGAGGAGAAGCTCGAATGGCGCCGAGCGAGAGGACGAGGCTGCCGAGCATCCGGCGGCTTTTGTTGTAGCACCAGCCCGCCGCGCACGTCGGACAGGTAAGCGCGGCCCGACGACGCGTCTCCTCGGCTCGGCTCGGGCTCGGCAGGCGAGTCCGAGGAGGAGGCGGCGCCGGTGGTGGTGGTGGTGGCGTGGGGGCCTCCTCGAGTCGGCGGAGGAAGCGAGCGGCTCACGACAGCCATTGTTTACAAAGACGTCATCCTCCTCCGGCCAGCGGGCCGTCGCGGGGGCCGTTTAGCCGGGACACGGCCGCCTCTGAGCGGACGCTAATCGGAGGCCTCGTCGGGCTGTATTGTTGTTGTTGGGCATTACGTCAGCACGTGTCCTAATGTGTGTGTTGTATGTTTGGACCCCCGCCCCACAAATCCCTTCCACCTTTACTCTTGCACCTGCTCCTGTTGGAGACGCGAACCAAACTGCTATGGCACAGGTGTCAAACTCAAGGCGCAGGGGCCAAATTGTCGCCCCTGCCCCTCAGGCACCCATTTTACATTTGAGAAATCAAAAATGGACCTAAAAGTACTGATGCAATGATGATCTTGTCATGACTGACTCACCAGTTGACTTTGTCATTGTGAAACGGCGGGCCTCTTTCATTGGACACAAAGCTTTTATTACTATTCTGTCGTACGGTTGACAACAGGTGCCTCGCGGGTTGATTGTGCCTTCTGCCATCATTTGAGTGAAACGTGCCTTGAAATGTCGATAAATTGTCCACTTAAAATGCACCGTAAGTACTTGCTTTCTCATATTTGTCTTGCCCGTACGGATGTTGTCACTCCAAGCTAGCAGTTTCACTTTGCAGTCAGCGTATACGACTTTATTTTCATCCTTTATGAAAATTTGAAGAATCCCAAACAACACTGTTACACCACATACCATAAAACTGACATTTTTTGAATATGCGAATATGTTTTTAATATAATTTATAGTTTCATGGCAGATTATTATTATCTTTTTTAAAAATTTTTTATGCAGTCCACTCTTTTTTTTTTGCGGTCGACTGACGAGTTGACTTTGACGAATGTTCACCCCCTTCAGCCCTAATCAATATGCTAAACAGCATGAAAACATTGAACACATGACGTGAATAAAACGTTGGAAGTTCCCACGATTTCTCTGAACCTCTTCAGATTTGTGTAGCAGAATAATGCTGAAATTTGAAAAAAAACAAAAATTAATTTCCAAAAACTGCTAGAACAAGTTGCTATTTTGCAAGAGAAGTCATATTTGTCAACAAAAGCATTTGGGCCAGGACCGCTAAGGGTTTGTTTATTTATTTATTTAGTTATTTATTTTTGATGATGCTGATTCCGATATCGGGCAGATTCAAATTCTGATGACAGATTCATGATCAGTAGATGTAATGAATGCAAAGAAGTTCTTTTTTTGGTCCCGTAACGCTCTGAACAATAGATATCATTTACAGGGAGAACATTCTGACTGCTTTATGATACTTGGTCCTTAGGTATTTGTTACAACAGAGAGAAATCTTGGCTGATTTTTTTTGGGGGCCCATTTCTTATGGGGGGGAGGGGGCGGTCATTTTTCAATGACATTGTCTTTGATATTGTAATGTCTTCATGTGTGTCACAAAAATATAAATCAAGTGAAAATTCTGCCAATTATTGACAATTTTCAAAGAGCTTCTGTCGTCCAATTTCATCGCTGCGGCCGTAATACAAAATATGACGGGGGGGGGGACTCATTGGGGGAATGCACCAATATGTGAGACCTTCTAAAATGGCTTCGGAGACGTTTTGAGCTGACCACCAAATTCCGACCAGTGGGAGCCCCCCGTGTGTGTGTGTGTGTGTGTGTGTGTGTGTGTGTGTGTGTGTGTGTGTGTGTGTGTGTGTGTGTGTGTGTGTGTGTGTGTGTTTTCTTTGGTGGAAACCAAGCAGAAAACAAGGATCTCGTTCTAGATTTGATTTGATTTAGCGGAGTGCCGATTGTGTTTGCGGTGCTTTCCCAAGACAGCTATCAATCGAAAAGAACATGAAAGGGGGCAATCTGCGGCCGTGGTTTCCCGGCAGACTCACCGACCCCGCCGTCTCCCTCTGTTGCAGTTTCCGCCTCGTACCGCCGCCGCCGCTCGGCCCCCGCCGGTTCCCGTCCCTCGCCGCCATGTCGCAGGGCCAGAACTTCCTCCCCAAGTTCCTGTTTGTGTCCAACCTGCTGAAGGCGGTGAAGATCCGCCAGCGGGTGCCCAACGACGTGCTGAAGCCGGCGGCCAGCGGCGGCCTCATGCACCACCTGCGCGGCATGCACCGCTACACGCTGGAGATGATCGCCATGAACCACTTCCCGCAGGCCTTCCGCGAGGTGGTGCAGGCCGCCATCTTGGACCGGGCCATGCAGGCCTCGTTGGAGCAGGAGAAGAAGCTCAACTGGTGCCGGGAGGTGAAGAAGATGGTGCCTCTGCGCACCAACGGTAAAACAAACACTCATTCACTCGCTCGCCGTTGCTGCGATTGTGCCTTTTCCTCCGATGTCTCTTTTGCTTTTTATTTTGCTTTTTGGTGCCACATTTGACTCCCTTTGTCCCGAATTCACCGGCTTTGTTAGTGTGTTTTTTTTTTTGTTGTTGTGTGCAAAGTACCGTTTGGCTAGTGGAAGAGTGTGAGGTTATCGCGCCACCTGTGGCTTTGTTTCAAGCGGAATGTTTGCTGTCTTCCCGGCCATCTGAAGGTCCCGTGTCCTTGATACACTGGTGGCGCCGTGTCTTTGAAGAAAGGGCCTTTCCCCAGGTTGCCAATTCTCAAACAACCGCTCGACCTTTCTTCTTCGGCACATTAGCGAAATGAAGGCATTTCAAAGGGACCCCGAAGGCTCACGCAAGATACTCCTTGACAAAGACCGAAGCAGGGGATGGTTTCACCGTAATTGGAGTTAGTTTTTGAAACGGAAGATGCGGAAGTTGCCATTGGCTGGCAAGCAGTTGAGGGTGTCCCCCGCCTCCTGCCCGCAGACAGCCGGGATAGGCGGCGGCACGCCCGCGACCACCCTCCCGAGGAGGAGCCCAATTAGAAAAGGGATGGATTGTTAGTTTTTGGAAATGTATTTTCGTTTTGATTCACATTTTTTTTCCAAGTTTCTTTGGAGTTATTTCGTTAGTTTGAGCCACCTTGAGGAACCTCGGTCGCTTGTTTCCGTCCACTTGATCGGCGGTGTCTATTGGGGTCTTTTTCCGAACTTAACATTCATCTGGTTCAGGCTGCCTGCAAGGGCGCTCCCAAGTTCTTCTGTGCGATTCCCTTTGCCTCAATATTGTCGTGATGTATTTTGCGCGAATGAGCGTATTCCCGCTTCTGAGTGGCTCCAATAAGGTTAAGGGTGCCAGTAGCCCCTGGTCCACCTCTTGGCTGTCCTTCCGGTGGTATGTTTGGCCACGGTGTCTATTCCAAAAGCAGCTTTCTTCCGGGTCGTGATTGTTTACGAAAACTATTCATTCACGCACCATTCCGCTTGTGCTGAGACTCCGCCTTTTTTCCGTGGTTGGCTCAAGTGGCTTTAGTGGCCTCCTGGTTCTTGGTCTCCAAGCGTGAGGCTCGCCCGCCGTCTTTCCATCCGGATGAAGCTCCTCGTCCCCAAATGACTCCTGTCGGGCCTCCGATGGGCTCCAAAGCGGCTCCTTAGCCAGCGTGACGAGCCAAGTGGCCAAATGAAACTTCTCAGAGGTGCGTGAGAGAGGATCTCAAGGGGAACGTTGGCGAGTCGACTTGATTCCACCTTTGCTTGTGCGGTTACCGTAAGCGACGGCGGTGGGGATTTCTCGGGTTCCCCTTCACTCTTTTTGTCACCCCCGACCGGTTTTTAATGTTGCAAAGTCAGGTGTTCGCTAAAGCCACGGAACATCCCGGGGCCCGCGCACCTGTTTTGAAGCACGCTGTGGAAACGCTGTGCTTTCGCACCCTTTTCTTGACAGCGCCGCCGCCCCCCTTTTTCGCCACGTGTGGAGGAGGGCTGTAAATCTCGCCGCTTCTTCGATAGATTGACGTGGCCGGGAAGAAGATTTACACCCCGCCTTGGGGCGTCAGGTGTGTCTCGGGCTCGTTAAGTCAGACGCGAGCGCGCTCTCGTAGCTCCGTCGTAGTAAAGCAAGCGCAGCTGTCAAGCGCTGCGCGCGGGACTCTCGGGCCGGGAATCCGTTCGAAGTTGCGAAACCCATTGACTCGGTTCACGAGGGTCGCATTCCAGTTCACCCCCGATTTCTGATTCACTTGATTGATTTTTATATTCACTGAAAAATTTCCCCCAGTAGCGATCGGACTTTCATATGGGAGACACGCTCAGAAGAGGTGCGGCCGCACATCGTGGAGACGTCTTGCTCTCATTTGGGGCCGTCGCCAAAATATGGATACTCATCATTAGGAAGTGAACCCACTGTGCTTTGATGAATCACGTAGGTGTTATTGAACATGACCTGATCGAAACGAGAACTCGTCGTTAAAATCAATACCAACTACAGGGCAGGCTGCGTAAATCAAGACCCTCGTGACATCACATCCTCGTTGCGGTGACGGTCTCACAAAGTCACTGACGCCTACTTTGGCATTTGCCCAAATGAGCCTCGACCAGAACTGGCTCCCCTCGACAAAAACGGCCATTAATTGAAGATTCCCAATGAGGAGGGCTTGTGCGGGGGCCGCTTTGTTGCGCGTCGCGTCTTTGCCCACTGCGCCGCGGATTTGCCTCTTCTGCGCTCAAGGGAAGCATGGGCCCAAAGTGGTGCAGGAGGAAGGGGAAACAATCTCACCTTTTATCGCAAGCGCCACTATGACAGCTGGGAGGAGGAACAAGTCCGGAGTGCTGACTCAGAAGCGACTGTGACACACTCGCTCACATCGGCTCAGTTCCTCTTCAGAAAGCACCCTGAAGTTGACTCAAACTTTCCTGGCGCTCTGCTGCCGGCAACAGCCGCATACTCTGCCCTGGCGTGCGCTGATGATGTCATCAAAGTGAGACCCACCGTCACACACCAGAGCGAAAAGCTTGCCTCACTCTCAAGGACCCGGACGTGACATTCAGCAGAGGACACACACACACACACACACACACACACACACACACACACACACACACACACACACACACACTGTCCGTCAATGAAGAGCCACCTGGAGAAGGTCATAAGAATCACAGCTCTTCGCGTGGGCCATACTCGTTTCCGAGTCGATTGCCCCCGTTTCCCTGAAAATAGCTGTTCTAATTCAAGCTTCACGCAAATGTCAGCGCCATGCCCCGCCCGCATTAGATGACGTCGACAACAACAGCTCGGCAGTTAAGCATGGCCGCACGATAAGCGTTGGAAAATGGGTGGTGGTCATCCAGACCAAAATGGCCGACAAACAGGTGCCGGTCAACGAGGGAGGCAAGAAAGCCTGTCGAGGATCCCCGCTGATGATGACGACGCTTGAAAGCAGCAGCGTTGCTTTTTATTTCCTTTTGAGTTTGATTTTTCAAATTCGGGTCGTCTACTTGGCTTGAGTTTTTATTCGCCTTAGTTGATGTCGTATGTGCGCACAGTTTGAAAGTAGCGCGGCGTAAATATTGCGTGGTTTAAAAACTCGCGGAAAGATGTCATTTCAAAAGCTAAAACCATTGAAATTCAACCCTGAGAGCCTACGTGTAAAACTAGTTGACAGAGACAAAATGAAAGAAAATGATGCTTTTGTAACTTAAAGAACAGTTGAATAAACTGTTATTCTTGACTTCTTGATATGATTTCAGTCATAATGGCCCTCCAAGGGAAATGCTAACTCAAATGTGGCCCACGGTGAAAATGAGTTTGACACCCACCCGTGATTTAAACGCTCCCATTCTCGTCTTAGTTCTGAAGACTTTTTTTTTCCCCTTCAACTTTTGTCTTCTCCAGAGTTTGTTTGCTTGCGAAATTGTGTCAAGTTTGTAATGCAGCTGCACACTCATTCATACTTGATGTGAATGACGCTAGCAGTGGCACTTGCAGTTTCAAGATAACGCACCAGTATTTACCCCCCCCCCTCCCTCCTGCGGAAAATCCGGGACCAGCTAAGTGCTGCGTAGCCAGGATGAAGATTATGAAGAGCACAAGCTGGGAAATTCCTCTCGAGTGTGGCAACAACAAGGTTCTCGAAAACAAATTTCACAATGCCAGAAAGACCCAAGGAGGCTTTTATGTCAGCGCAACGATGTCGTTTGGTTGCACCTGCAAGTACTGAACCGAGGCCTCGCAATCAATCAATCCATAAAGCAACGCTTCTTTATGAATGAGATAACAGGTCAGTTAGTGTGCCCGTGAGCGCGTGACAATTGATTGACACTTAGCGCGTGCGTCATGCTTTGCGTCTTTGAGTGGTTGTTATTCCTCTGGCAAGACGCTTTCTTGTTTGTCAAATCAGAGGCACAAGATGGCAGCGACCCCGGTGCTCCAGGGCCCGATTCGCCACAATACAATACGATACATCTTGATTTATTGATGCGGCGCTTTCACAACAGCCGATGACGTGATCATTTGCAGGAGGGAAAGATCCGCAACATGCACAATTGGACTCCTCCGGGACAGGAGTTGGGAACCTGGTTTAGATCATGCGCCACTCGGTCGTCACGCCAAAAGGGGATTTGTTTTGGAAATTGACAACTTCTGCGGCTCATGGCTCATCACTCCATGCAGCTTCAATGCTACTTGGGGGCATTTTGCATCACACACACACTTAGATAGATCTATCTCTCTCTATATATTTTATTTTTCTCTCCACACAAAGCTAGCGTACTTTACTTTGTTGTTGAAATACACTGGATAATGTTGAGTTTGTTTTATTCAGAGGGAGATAAGCCCGCAACAGAGGTTCGTTTCCTTTCACACCGCTTCTCATGGTTGACCTCTCAAGGAGAAGCTCTGCTCACTTGCTGCTTTCAGACGTGTGAGCGTCATATCAGCACATCATCAAGCCCACAGCGCGGAAAATCCCCACACTCCTCCCGTGTGTGTGTGTGTGTGTGTGTGTGTGTGTGTGTGTGTGTGTGTGTGTGTGTGTGTGTGTGTGTGTGTGTGTTATGTAGACACAATCTGCTGTAATTATCCGTGCCCTTTGGTTCTGAATGCACACATTGCCCTGGTTAAATTGCCTTTTATGTTGCCTCCCTAAGAACGCTGGGTTTGGTACATTTGTCGTAAACTTGATTGGGGGGGGGGGGTTTGCCGTTAATTCAAAAAAGGATGTCACAAGAATAAAGTAGCAACTTTTATGCGCAAATATGGCATTTTTAGCAGAATGTCTAAAAAGGACAAGAGCACAGTCAAAAAATTGGAGAAAAAAACGTATGAATGAAGTCAAAATGTTAAGTTGCGATTGTGAGGGGACAACTATGAAATAGTAAATAAAAGCCGTCCAATGTTTTTTTTTTTTTTTGTGTGTGTTTGTGAAGGAGATGGCAACTGTTTGCTCCACGCCGCCTCCCAGTACATGCTGGGCGTCCAGGACACGGACCTGGTCCTCCGGAAAGCCCTCCACGGAGTCCTCAAGGAGACGGACACCGCCGTCTTTCGGGCACGCTTCCAGGCCCAGCTTCTGCACTCCCAAGAGTTCACCCAGACGGGCCTCCGCTACACCACCACGGTAACGAGGCGTGCTTTCGGCGCGCCCGCATGTAGCCGTCGTTCGTTTTGCTTCATAAATCCATAAATTGCCTTGGCGTGTCGCACGCTTTCCAGAACTGGGAGGACGAGTGGGACAAGATCGTCAAGATGGCCTCTCCCGTCTCCACTAGCAACGGCCTGCAGTTTGACTCGCTGGAGGACATTCACATCTTCGTCCTGTCCAACATCCTGCGCAGACCCATCATCGTCATTTCAGGTACACGCAACAAATTGATCAAAACCAGAAGAAGCCGCTCGACTCCGTTCGGCCTTTGCGAATTACCGTGACCTGAATGACTGACAATCAACAGACATTGGGTATTTTTGATGTCGTGGTTGGAAGAAAACAACTTGGGCACTTATGCTAGTAGGAAAACAACACTTGTGTGCTTTCTATCTATACCATGTACACACACACAAACATCAGGATATTTGTAACTCAAGAAGAAAAACTGTCCCCTCGAAGATACGCATCTGAAAAACATTACGTGATATCACAGTTTCCCATAAAATGTGAATGTGTAATATGAAAATCAAGTCACACTCTTTCCAAACTGAATTTTGGATGAAAAGAAGACAGAAAAATAATTGACACAACAAGCAAAAAAGTATTTCCAATGTCCTAAACATCAGGTTAAGAACATGACAATGTAAGTATGAAAATGCCCCAATGAATCTCGAGAAATTTACTCGGAAAACATCACATTTTGGGACTAAAATCTCAATTTGCTCTTTGCATCCAAAGTCGTCATTTTAAACTGGAATTTTCAAACTGTAAAGTTACAAGGGGGGAAAAGCCATCATGGTGTGACAATGAAGTCCAAATATTCTGAAAGAAAACACGATCAAAAAGGATCATGCCCCATCGGCAAGAAAATGACAATGACCGTTTGGAGAATCAAGTCTCAAGGTTTTGAAGTCGGAGCGGGACTGAACAGTGATTTTCTTCACCGACAGACCAGGTGCTGAGGAGCATGAAATCGGGTTCGACCATCTCCCCCCTCAACGTGGGCGGGATTTACCTCCCGCTGCACTGGCCGCCGGCCGAGTGCTACAAGTACCCCATCGTGCTGGGCTACGACTCGCAGCACTTTGCGCCCCTCGTCACCATCAAAGACAGCGGCCCCGGTAAGCGCCGCCGCGTCGGTCGCCGTCAATCTTACTCATCCCTTTGAGCCCGTTAAAAAACAAAAAATGGGTCCGAAGAAATCCGAGCCGTGCCGCTGATCAATCCCGGACGAGGAGGCTTTGAGGAGCTCAAGGTGCACTTCCTGATGGAGAAGGAGCAGCAGCTGAAGGAGAGCCTCCTCAAAGACTACCTGCTGCTCATCGAGATCCCCGTCATCGGATTGGGATACGACGCCACGCGCATCATCAACGCCGCACGGTACTTTGATTTAGAAAATCGCTTGTCAGTTCTTTTGGCAGATCTTTTTTCTTGCACATTATCACGTTACAATATAAGACAAGATCATTACATTCAAACTTTTTTTAAGCCCCCGTGCGCGAGGAAGATGTGATCAAGACAAATGACGACGTAAACGCGGGAAGTGGTTTTTGTTTTATTGTGCTCTGTCCTATCAACAAGATAATGCCATGTTGCCCCCCCCCCCCCCCCAAAAATGGTTGAGGTTTGGTGATTTTTTTTCCGCCTGCATTAAAAAAAACAAACAACAAAAACTGTATTGAACAGTCCAATCTTTTCCTGTCATTGCTTTCTTTACTGCGTTAAAGGACCGAAACAGTCTTATCGTTCGTTCTATATTCTTTGAAAATTAACGGCCTTTTAAATCAGTTGTTGGATTTTCATCTTGTCAAATATCGGCACCGGGCTTCACAAATCCGTATCGGTCGGCCTGAAGTACGAAAAGGAAGCCAAAAAAAAAAGAAAATGGAAATCTGCTGTTTATTTAGCGGGAGCGCAGACGGTGAACCGTGGACAAAGACTTTCAAAACGATGTCCGGCAGCATCAAACGATATATCTGAAAGCCATCAGCGAAAAGGTAGTAAGCGCGGTGTCGTCTGTGGTCCAAAAGGTTGGACGAGGGCAACCTGCCGGAGGACATGAACCTGATGGAGGACTACCTGCAGCTGGTCAACCACGAGTACCAGCGCTGGCAGGAGGACAAGGAGCAGGCGTGGGCGGCCCAGCCCCAGCGCCCGCCGCCCTTCTCCGTCTCGCAGCTGTCGCTCATCGAGATCCGCTGCGCCACGCCGCGCTGCACCTTCTACGTGTCGGTGGACACGCAGCCGCACTGCCACGAGTGCTTCGAGAAACGCCAGGCCACCGCCGGCCGGATAGAAGGCCTGGTGCACGCCAAGGGCGGCGGCGTTTCGGACAGCAGCGAGGGGGGCTCCAGAGGGGGCCGGAGCGGCAGCCCGCCGTCGTCCTCGTCCGGCCGGGCGGCGGCGCTGTCCAGCCCGCGCTCGGCCCCGCCGCCCACCGCGCCCAGCCTCAGCCTGTACAGCGAAACTCACGCCATGAAGTGCAAAAGCCCCGGCTGCCTCTTCACCCTTAGCGTGGAGCACGCCGGGCTGTGCGAGCGCTGCTTCAACTCCAGGCAGAACCAGGCGCCGGGCCCGGACGCCGCGGCCCCTCACGCCCTTGCCGCGCAGGGTCCCGGCGGCTGGAACCAGTGGGGGGGGCCCCCCCGGCAGGCGGAAGCCGAGCGCTGCGGCACGTGCAGGCAGGAAGCCTTTCGGATATTCAACGGGCTGTGCGCGCCCTGCATGCAGAGGCAGCAGGCTCCCGAAACGGGGGAGCCGCGGCCCGGCCGGCCCGGGACCGGGACCGGGACCGAGGCCTCGTCTACG